AGGGTTTAGGGTTTAGGGTTTAGGGTGTGTAGCGTGTAGGGCCTAAGGCCGGTAGGAGTTCTCGCCCTGTCTTTCAATTGGAGACTGAAATAAAATGGTTCAAGAGCAGCACCGCCAACAGCTGTAGGCGAAGCAGCAGCAGCAGCAGCAGCGAAGCAGCAGCAGCAGCAGTAACACTCGCAGCAGCAGCAGCAGCAGAAGCCGCCGCAGATGGATCCCTCAGCGACGAGTTTGCCACCGCAGCTGCAAGCAGAACAAGACGCACCCAGAGAGCCGTTCAAAAGCCACTGCAGTAGCAGCGACAGCAGTAGCAGCAGCGGCAGCCCGCACAGCAGCAGCAGCAGCAGCAGCAGCAGCAGCAGCAACCTCGCGTGGCAGCAGCAAGCCCGCAAGTGTGTGCAGCAGGACTTGGCCTTAAAGGGTTTTATCCTCAAAGATGGAACTTCTTTCGGAGCGGATTTTCTCTCTTACGTTGGAGACCCCCAGGAGTCCCACGCGTCCTTTCTGGTGTACGTACACCCCATGCCCAGCAGCAGCAGCAGCAGCAGTAGTAGTAGTAGCAGCAGCAGCAGCGTGAACTGCCGCATTGAAAGTGGAGAGCTGCGGGAATCCAGTGGGCACAGCGTGAGTGGTAACAGCAGCAGCTGCGGCGGCAGCACTTGCTGCTGCAGCTGCTGCGACGGCAGCGCTTCCTGCTGCTGCTGCTGCAGCAGCAGCAGCACAGGCTTCGGCCCTGCCTTTTCTCTCGTTGCACTGCAGCGTCTCGCCAGAAGCAACAAAAAAGCAGCAATTTTGGCACTGGTTTACTGCTGCATGCGGCCTCCGGTGTACATACAGCTGGACCGCATTAAGCCTTCTTGCTTCTATTTCGTGCTGCTGCTGCTGCTGCTGTTCTTACTGCTGCTGTTCTTGCTGCTGCTGCTGCTATGGGGCCTGCTGCTGTGTTTGCGGTTGCCATTTCTGCTGCTTTTGTTTCCTTTTCTTTTGCTGCTGCTATTATGGCTCCCGCAGTAACTACCGCAGTGTTTTCTTCTGCTGCTGCTGCTGCTGCTGTTGCCCCTGCTGTTGCGGCGTCAGTCGGGGCAGCAGGATGAAAAGCCCCAGCAAAAAGGCTGGAATGGCTCTGTGCGCGTTTTGAGGGTTTAGGGTTTAGGGTTTAGGGTTTAGGGTTTAGGGCCTGGGACTGGTCGTTACCCTACTTGGCCCACGGCCTTATTACGAAAGTCTTTATTGGCTCCTTGCCTCTATTGGAGCAACAGCTGCTGCTGTTGCTGCTGCTAGTGTTGCTGCTGCCGCTCTTGCTGCAGCGGCTGCTGCTGCTGCTGTTGGCGCAGCAGCTGTTGCTGCGGCGGCTGCTGAGCAGCACTGTGGGCTGCAGCAGCTAGCCAGCAGTGCTGCTGGGCCGAGCTAGCTGGCTAGCTGCAGCTAGCTAGCCGCAGCTAGCCGGTGCTGGCTGCCTGCACCTCCAGGTGGCTAGCTGCGTCTATATAGCCTTGGCTAGCTGCGGCTAGCTAGCGCTGGCTGCCTGAAGCTTTGTAGCTAGCTGCAGCAAACTAGCGCTGGTTAGGTGCATCTGTGTGTAGCTGGCTGCAGCTAGCTAGCGCTGGCTAGCTGAAGCTAGCTGTAGCTAGCTGTAGCTAGCTAGGCCTGCAGCGATCACAGCTGTGGGTAGCTTTTCCCAGCTGCTGCTCAGCCTAGCTAGCTGCAACTTCCCACAGCTAGCGATGGCTAGCTGTGGCTCCCCGCAGCTAGCTGTGGCTGCGTGCTGCTCGAAGTAGCTAGCTGCAGCTAGCTCCAGCTCCCCGCAGCTAGTTGTAGCTAGCTGGGACTCTCCACAGCTAGCGGTGGCTAGCTGCGTGGGGCTGGACTTTGGCTGCTTGGTAAGAGCCGCTAAAAGCAATGCCCCGCGTTTTAAAAAGTAATTAAATAATTAAATTTTATTTTTAGATTCCAAGAAACAATTATTTTAAGGTAATTCGTTTCTAAAGACATGAGCGCCAGGATATCTTCTTTTGTTTTGAGTTCTTTCATTTAAATGATAAAACTTAAAGTTCTAAGAAGGAGAATATTAGAGGGTCTGCGGTGTACGTAGTTGCAGTGTACGTACACCTCAGCGTGCTGAGCGCGTGGCGAGGCGGGTTCTGTCGCTTCTCGAGCGCAGAGAAACTCTCACATCATTTTATTTGAAAATAATTTATTTTAATGTTTTAAATTCATTTATATTCTTTTTATGACTCAAAAGACAGCCAGCCAGGAGCGAGCAGCGCCAGGTCAGGGGGCCCTTGCATGCAAGGCCGGGCTGTGCAGCGACTCCGGACTCCAACTTTCTTTCCTTCCTTTCTTCTGTTTGCACTTTTCGCCTTTTTTTCTTCAAGGTTTTTCTTCTGCAGAAGTTGCTGAGGCTGGAGGCTCCGCCGCCGCCGCAGACGACAGAGGGGGAAGATGAGTGCGGGGGCCCCCCAGAACAAGTGAGCTCAGGAAGAAGGAAAAGTGCCTCTTTGCAGGAAAAAGCAAAAATAAACAAAAGTATAATATTAATGCATGCATTTAGTGCCTCTACTCTCTCCAAATGCTGCAGCGTGAACGCAGCGCCTGCGCCGAACTGTACGTACACCCGAACTGACCGTACACCCCAGAGCTGTCCATACACCTGAGCCGCGCGCGCAACCCGCCGGCTGCTTGTGTGTCTTTCACTTTTATTTAGTCTGCTGAAGCTGCTGGACTTCAGCCAGTGCGAATGCCGCAACGAGGCGACGCCAAATACCTTTCTTTCTCTTTTGCAAAACCAAGGAAGTGCCAAAGATCAAAACAGCTGCCTTGAGTCCGGAAACGAAGACCCCCAGCTCTTCATCTCAGTGAGCCGCAGACGCAAGCCCCCGTGCAGCGGCTTTAGGGTTTAGGGTTTAGGGTTTAGGGTTTAGGGTTTGTGTGCAGGTGGGGTTTTCTGTGCCTGTGCGGCTAACTGGGCTGCGGCTGAGGGCCCCCAAAGGGTCCGTTGCTTCTGGAGAGGCCCCTCGCCGTCTTCGTCTTTTTTTCAATGACCCAACCAAGTCCTTCTCCGACGCAGGTAAACCCTAAACCCTAAACCCTAGCGCTTCAAGGCCCCAAACCCTAGCTCGCAGGCGACTCCGGATACGGAGAGCGGCTGCAGTGCGCGCTCGCGGTTTGGGCCCTGCGCGCGTGATTTAGCAGGGTTTAGGGTTTAGGGTTTGGGGTTTAGGGTTTAGGGTTTGGGGCTTTTGTGTTGCAGAGACAGACCCAGCGACGGATGAGTTTGTAAGCCTTTTGAGCACAAAGAGAAGGGAGCCCGAAGACACAAGTAGAAGGGCCTAGTGGAGTTTAGGGTTTAGGGCCTAGGGTTTAGGGTTTATGGTTTAGGGTTTAGGGTTTGCGCAGGACCTGCCGGAGGACGAAAGCATTGAAGACGGCCGCTTGCTTCCTCTAAAATCTGTCCGCTACAACGGCGTGGCTTCTTTGCAGATATTTATAGGTGAGAAGTTGGGGTGTACGTACACCTGAGCAGGACCCCATAGCCCGCGTGCTGCTGCTGCTGCTGCTGCTGCTGCGCTGCCGCGCGCAGCAGCTGTGGGGCCCCAGAGCTGCTGCTGCTGCTGCTGCCCTGTGTCCGCAGAGGACAACCGGGGGGCCCCCACGACGAAAATAGCTCAAGTGGATTTCTTTGGAACTCCTGTAGACAGTTTGCAGGTATGAAGGAAGCTGGGGCTCTAGGGTTTAGGGTTTAGGGTTTAGGGTTTAGGGTTTAGGGTTTGGGGTGTTGGCGCTACGCAGATGAAGGACTGGAAGCCCTTGAAGCCGGAGGAGGCCCTCGCCCAGAACGACACTTGAGCTCTCTTTTTAGTGTCTCCCTTTCCCCTCTCTCTTTGTGCAGCAGCAGCAACAGCAGCAGCAGCAACAGCAGCAGCAGC